GCTGTACCCGCCCCTCCCCCGTCCGTTCCGCCAGTCAGGATCGGAGGATCGGAGCGGGGAGGGGGGAATCCAGCCCCTCTCCTGTCACGGCAAAGAGCCGTGACAGGATCGAGAGGTGAGCGAACGCCGGTATGTGTTCGCTCACCTCCCGATCTACTGAGCCGACCTGTGACAGTCTCATTGTCACAGGTCGGCTAGAACTATGAGGTGAGAGAAAAGCCCCCTCCCCCCTCATAGTTCTCCTTTAAGAGGGGTAAGCTGCAATTTCCTTTGTCCTATTTTGGACCACTCCCCATACTACACGTCTGTGCTGAATAGACTTGTGCGCCGTCAAAAAATTTGTTCCGTTTCGGAATATCCGTTATTTTGTATTTCGTAATTCGTATCCGAGACTCAATTCGGATTCGTATGAAATACGGATTTTCGTTAGTTTCGGCACATTTTCGTAACTGTACGAACATTCGTTATGATGAAGTTAAAAAGCAAAATTACCTTTGTTAATATTGGAGTCGATGTGGTAGTTGTTTTTGTATCCGAAATACGAATTCCGTTAACGGATTCCGGATCCGAATTTCGTATTTCGGACTTAAAAAAAAACTTACCATCAACTCCAATATAAATGTATTTTGCTTTTTAACTTCAATATAACGAATGTTCGTAACGGAACGAAAATACGTCAACGGAATTTCGTATTTCCTGCCTGTGTATTGTAATGCGACTCTCAGCAGCAGCGGATCCGTATTTCGGATTTAAAAAAAAATCTTGTCATGTGTTTCAACCTCATTTACAGGGGTAATATTAGTTCCTGTTTCAAAGAAATTCGGATCCGAAATTCGTTAACGGAATTTCGTATTTCGGATATAATTCGGAAACTGCCATTCGGATTTCGGATGCTTCCGAATTTACGAACTTCAGGAAAATTCATACGAATTTCGATTCGTAACGAAACGAATCGCACATGTCTAGTGCTGAAGCTCTTCCTCTGGATTGTGAGCTTCTCTGATTACCAGGATGCTCCTCACATAATAAGATTTGGATAAACACAGCTTGAGCCAATAGACACATCATCTCAGGTGGCTTTTTTTTAATAGTTTAACAAAATAAAAAAAACAATAAATGCGTCTTATTATCCGATGTGCGTCCACAGGCCGACAAAGTCACCACTTTCAGAGTCAAACACATTGAAAGTTACACCCTTATTACAAAACATTTTGCAGCCACAGCTGACATTTAAATACATTATATCGGCTATACATTTCATTCTCATTACTTTGTATCATTCAGGTTTGTTTGGGGTTTTTTTTTGCCTTCGTCTCAAAATGAGTTTGATAAATTGAACTGTTGAAATAAGTTTGACCATGCCACCCCATGCCACCCCTGGGGACATTCTGCTCTATGGCACTGCATGGTTCTGAGAACTTGGCAGTTGTAGAGTTCAGTTCAGGAGTTTCAGCATTAAAAAAAGTCCAAAAACAGTTCCCCCTTCCCCACATACTCCCTATCCTTAACCTAGGCCTCAGGCTGTTCCTAACACCACATGTTCTAAGGCCAGAGGCATGAGTCCTTGAGGGAGAAACATGATGGAATTTGTAGTTTCGCCACAGCTGGAATGCCGAGGTTACCTACCTCTGTTTTTTTGTTTTGCATAGAATGGGGGAAGGTTAGAAGCCCTGTTGGGTTTTGCTGCTATGCGGGGGGCTTTGTTCAAGGACACAACGTTTTACCAGACAGGAAGTCAACAGAGAAGAATAACAAGCTTGATAGGGATTCTATCATTCCTCTACTTCATGAAAAACAATTGGCTGCGTTGCTGTTAGAGAGATTTCCCCACACTTCCTGTCCAGAGGCAACCTATTTACCATAAGACAAGTCCAACAGAGCCTCTGATGGCAGCAAAACCTTCCATGAGTTCTAGAACTCCCCTACTTAATTCCTGTAAGACTATACCTGGGCGTGCGGATGCTTCTGCGCATGCGCGTACGCCTGTCTTTCGCATTTGCGGGGAAATGGGCGCTATTGCGCATGGAGACGTGCTACTGTGGCGCACAGGAAGTGATGCAGCTTCTCTGAATAGATGGCCCTATTTAAACTTGCCAGTCCTATGGATCATTGCTGAATGGTCTTTCATCTCCTGTGTGTGTGTTCCTGCGCCTCTGCCTGTTCCAGTATTCTGCTGCCTGGCCCGGATCTCCTAGACTACGCCTGACTGCTGCCTGCCCCTGACCTCTGCTTGCTCCTCGACTACTCTGCTGCCTGCCGCCTTGTACTTCGCTGCCTGATCGGTGGTGACCCTGGCCTGCCTGACCTCGTCCTGCTCCAGCCGTGTTCCTGGTGGTCTTTCCAGCTGCATCTACACCTGCTTCCTTGGAGACCAGCTTCGGACTCACCCAGACACCGTGCCCTGCACCCTCCGGCACCGGTGCTGCTCTCTGTCCTCTCACTACCTGTCACCACTCTCAGGGATGCGGGACAAGAGTTGCAAAGGAGGCCTCCTCACTACTCGGTTCTCTACCAGGTCCGTGATAATTCCCTAACACTCAAGCCATAAATCGACTCTTTTCTAAGAAAACCCGTTCAGATGCTCCTGCAATAGTAGAAGCTAAATACTCACCACTGACGGGTGGCAAGGGAGCACTTCACTATCTTCAACAGCCTTGGGTACCGTTGCTTTTCAGTACTTATAGGTGTGTATTATAGTGTGTCCCCAGAATGCCATCGGCAGCTATGTTACAGGACACAGTTACATTGTTAAATTGCTACCAAGTGCCCCTTCCATACATGAATAATCTTTAGAGGACCCAAGAACTCCAAGACCTAGCGTGATCTATGATTGTACATATCAACCACGGTCTGTGTGATCCAGCTATGTCCTGCTTCCGCCTGTCCATCGCCTTCCCAACCCACTCAGATATAGGAGTGATCTATACTGCACTACCCATGATAACCATGTCCTTCTGCCATAGGGTCCCCAATCCATTCCTTTGTTGAAGAAAAACCTTTTGAGGTAACATTATAAATACCTCAGGGGTGTGTGACATTCCCCATCTATTTAAAGAACAAATGTGATCTAAAGAACAAGGAATGCCTAACAGTGGGTAAAAGCTATTTTTCTTTACTAACCAATTCCCTCATGGTGGGTAAGAAGACCGAGAGTGACCTCTACTAATCTTACCTCGTTAAAGGGCATTAGTATCCCTTAAACAAAAAGTGCACTTTCGGACACATTGCATTTTGTTGTTTTTTTGCCTCCCTCACCTGAACCTCAGATCCCACAATCCCCGTCCCAAGATGCATAATTACTGAAACCCGGGGCTTCGGTGTTTGTTTACATACTGCACCAAAGTCCTCTCTCTGCTGTCCATACCTGTGCAATGGAGCCCCATAGAAATCTATGCGGTTCATCTGCCTGGCTTCCCATCTGAGAGATGGACATAGACAAGCCCCATAGAAATCTATGAGGTTCATCTCCTTGGCTTCCCATATTAAGAGATGGACATAGATTAGTCCCAGAGGTCTATGAGGTTCACCCCCTTGGCTTCTCATGTGAGAGATGGACATAGATGTGTCCCATAGAAGTCTATGAATTTCTTCTGCTTGGTTTCGCATTTGAGAGATGGACATAGATGTGTCCCATAGAAGTCTATGAAGTTCTTCTGCTTGGTTTCGCATTTGAGAGGTGGACTCAGATGAGAAGTCTATGAGGCTCATCTGCCTGGCTTCCCATCTAAGAGAAGTACATAGATGAGTCCCATAGAAGTCTATGAAGTTCATCTGCCTGGCTTATCATCGGAGAGATGGACATAGATGAGCCCCATAAAAGTCTATGAGGCTCATTTGCCTGGCTTCCTAGCTGAGAGATGGACATTGATGAGCTCCACTGAAGTCTATGAGGTTCATCTGCGAGGCTTCCCATCTGAGAGATGGACATAAACTAGCCCCATAGAAGTCTATGAGGCTCATCTGCCTGGCTTCCCATCTGAGAGGTGGACATAGACAAGCCCCATAGAAGCCTATGAGGTTCAACTGCCTGGCCTCCCATGGGAAAGATGGACATAAATGAGCCCCATAGAATGCTATGAGTTAATTTGCCTAGCTTCCTAGCTAAGAGATGGACATTGATGAGCTCTACTGACGTCTATGAGGCTCATCTACCTGGCTTATCATCTGAGAGTTGGACATAGATGAGCCCCATAGAGGTCTATGAGGTTCATCTGCCTGGCTTCCCATCTGAGAGATGGACATAGAAGAGCCCCATAGAAGTCTGTGGGGCTCCAATGCACAGCAGAGAGAGGACTTTGGCCCACAAACACTGGATGCCCCGGATCTCGGTAAGTATGCATCTGTGAAGGGGGAGCGTGGGTTCTATTATGTCACGGGAGGGAGGCAACAGAATTTAGTACACTTTGTCTGAACGTGCTCTTATTCTTTAAACTTAAGATGAGAATATTTGCTATCTTATAGAGAACATCTAGAAATGTTAATTGCACAAACATTACTTTGAAAGCTTTGCCTTTTGTTTTGAATTCCTCCTGGAAGATAGCAGTGCTCCTCCTGACGTGTGATCGTGTCAGGCCTGTGCCTACAGCCTCATAGCTGTATATCTCCATTGTGAGTTCTAAGGCACGGATGCCCCTGACTGCTGGTCTCACAAGATTTCTAGTGAGAGTTGGTGATGCCACTAATGTGCTTCTCACTGTTCTCCTTGCTGGAGAGAGTTGTACCTGGCAGTAGAAGGATCTCCCTGCTACTACTTTATTAGATGACTAGGCGTGGGGGAGGGGGGTTCTGATATAGGGAAGCAAAGCCCTGTCTGTATAGCCAATACTGGTGTCTATTATTTAGTCCTCTGCTTGCCTTCTTTGGGCACAGCTTCTACAGTCCAGGTCCTCTTTAAGGAATATTAATATACTTTAAATCTACTGTTTTGTAGTTTACTTTTCCCGTGTGTTGATCTTCCTTGACTATGCTTTAATATGAGAAAATTGTAATTTGCTGCCATTTGGAGCAGCTATGGGTCTTTTTTTTGAGGCCCCTGAAGGTTGACTGGCTGCTCACCATCACCACACTATACTATATATGAATATTCCGATACGTTTCATCACATAAAAGGAACAAAATACCACTGGCCAAACAATACCCATGTCAAATACTGTCTTTATTTGCCACCCGAAAAAAAAAAAAGGATATTTTTGATACCATGCTCACTCAACCACGTGAAAGTCTTTTGTGTTCTGTGCGTTTCATAGAAATAACGGATATTCTCAGACTGTAAAAAGAATGAAACCAAGAAAGAAACAAGGAAAGGTGAGATGACCGTCCTATGCAGTCCGCATCACTCCCCAGAAGTCTTTATAACATGGAACAGAGTGACGTTATAGAGAACTTGATGACCATTATTCCAGGTGTAGAGGACTCTCTCTCGTGGGTTGTAGTCCAGCATAGATATGTGTGAATACTGATTATGGAACGGGATATCTGTGTATTCATAAGTAGATGAGTTGGTGTAATATGCAAAGTAGATCTTGGCTCCTGCTAAATGAGAATTGGTTACGTAGAGGGTGCCGCATATCATGAAGGACTCTCCGGCGCTGCGTTTCGGGTAGCCGGTGTCCCAGGTCTGGAGGATCTCCAGCGTCTGGGGGTCCAGCTTGCTGACCACAATATTTCCCGCATTCTGATTGGTCGTGTAAACCGCCCACAGTCCGTTTTCGTCCACCATGAAGTCAATGTCGGAGAAGCCGCCCCAGGAGTAAGGGAAGGTGTTGTTGTAGCCAGCGTTGTTGAGGTTCCTCTGGACTGAGACACTACGCGAACGGAAGTGATATTTCACCACAATGTTGCTCTGGTACTTGTTGTAATACAGCGAGCCATTGTAAACCACGTGGCCGGTGCCGGCCCAGGGATGGGGGAGGAGATGTTGCACGAAGTTCTGGCCTTTGATGAAGTCATTGAGACTGCGGTATTCCAAGACCCTTCGACCTTTTAAGTAACCATCCATGTACCAAACCTGGAAAAGACAACATGTCATGTTAAATGGGAGCTTGTAAAACATTTACCAGTGTTAACATTGTTACATTGTAAAGTGTTACTTGATACCACAAATGAGAGTTGTCAGTCCATCAGCATATCATCACCATCGCTACAGCTGGCGGTATACTAAGACCGGCGCGGCCGGGACGGATCCCGACATTACTGTCGAGATCCACCCAGCTGCGTGACTGACAGCTGGCTCTGCCTATCTAGAGGCTGTACCCGCCCCCTCCCCCATCCGTTCCGCTAGTCAGCGCTGGAGGATCGGACAGGGGAGGGGAATCCCTGCAGGGAGCCGTGAATGAAAGTCACAGCTCTCTACAGGGAGATGATCGAGAAGTGAGCGAGCGACATTATGTGTTCGCTCACTTCCCGATCTATTGAGCTGACGTGTGACAGTTTCATTGTCACAGGCCGGCTCAGATTACGAGGCTGAGTGATTTTCACTCACCTTATAGTTCTCCTTTGAGAATGAATGGCAATGCAGCACACCAACTTGCAGCACAAAGGTGGGAACCCGACCTTCTACATTACTTAGCATACACAACCTCAACTGGAAAATATAACTGATGATGGGTCCAATTTACCAAAACTTTTCCATATCCTTTGGCCACCAAACTAGACATGTGCACTGCCAAAAAATTCGTTTCGTTTCGTTTTAAATTCGGATTTGTGTTATTTCGTTTTTCAGGATTCGGGTGTGAAAGTCAATTCGGATTCGGAATTCGGATTCGGACGAAATTCGGTAGCGTTAGTACGAACGTTCGTTTCGTTTTCTGTTCTTATTCGTTTCTTATGCGTTTCGTTCGTTTGCAGCAAAAGTGACATTTGAGGGGGAAAAAATATTTTTCTCCTCTAATGTCACTTTGCTCCAACGAACGAAACGAATAAGAACAGAAAACGAAACGAACGTTCGTACTAACGCTACCGAATTTCGGAAATGGAAATTCGGATTCGTTTGCATTCGTTATGTCTGCAATTCGGAATTCGGATACATCCGAATGTCCGAATTTCCGAAAATTCGTCCGAATTTCGATTCGGAACGAAACGAATCGCACATGTCTACACCAAACCAACATAACCTTCTCCAGCTTTGTGTTCCCTGTAATAGTTCTGTATTCAGACTGCAGGTCTTGTAGGTCTTCCATCTATTGATAATATTTGCCGCGTCTTTCGTTGCCTTTTGCTCCTTCTTGAACATATTTTGCACTCGGTCCTCCGATCATTTTAATTATTGGATGATCACACTCTACTCGGCTCAGTTTTATTAATTCCATCGCAGCCGGTTTTTATTTTTCTAATACCATCTTATATTTATCTCCCCAAAGCTCCATGCAGGAAGTTTAAGACCTCAATACATTATGTTATCTATACCAGTTACCTATTTAGTATCCATTTCCTGAATTGCTTCCTCTTTATGACTGTGCTTGTAGAGTGAGATCTGTAGGACCATAAAAGGTCGTCTTCAAGGTAAGGTCTCAGCAACTCATACACACACACGTATTAGGTAGTCCTATAGCTGAACTCTGGGATAATTATGAAATCTTCCCATCACTTCCTGATACTTAGTACTGTAGCCCCCATCACCTTCTGTGATGTGGCTACTAGACCTTTAGTGATAGCCGGGGCTGTAGTCAGCCTGGCTGGAATTATAGTGGCCGTTATCTGGTTAATTTCAGGTGTCTGGCATTGCCTGTACCCCCCCTGGGCGGAGTGTGACTCTGTCATGTTGTGGGACAGCCAATGAGAGGCACTGTAGTGTATGTACAGTACAGCAGCCAATCACTGGTTTGAGTTTCTCTCAGCCAGTGGTGCATGCTGGGATAGGGTACATATACTGGAGGGATTTGCCATGTGCTCAGACTAGCCGTGACCAGCCATGGATTAGGGCTGGGTGCTGTTCAGCCTGCCCCCCAGGCTGGGCCTGGGGGTGGGCACAGGCTGGTATGAGATAAATGTCTCCCTGAGGCTTCCAACATGGAGGAGGTCTGTGTTGCTGTCGGAGGAAGAGACCCAGGACCAATGATGGCTCTTGAAGTTTCCTGGAACCTAAGGACTTCAGGAGCATGGCCGGTGTCTTTCCTGTTGAGGATCTGTATCCATCCTGCTTATCTGTTACATCAGTTGCTATCCGCTGCCTTCCAACTGGATCTACACTGATGTGCCAACCGGGTCTGGAGCTTATGTCTGTTACCTCTGGAAGCTTAGAACCCCCCCCCGCCCCCCCATACCCTCTCTCCCCAGTGAAGATGTTCAATAAAAGTTATTCAGCATTATATTACTGGAGTGGACAGTTTATGGGCACCAGAAGAAGGGCGGTCAGTGCTAATGGGTGGGCAGCTGAAGAACATCCCCTAGACAGACTAGAGATGAACCGGGCATTCAGCGGCTCCTTCGGGGGTGAGCGCTACAGTATATTATAAACCTTCTTGTGATCTGTGACATCATCATCTTCATTCATAAAGCTCAGCTATGCCCAGACACCCGAAGGAGGGTTCAAACAAGCAGCACCACCACCGCCATAATGAAGTGGGAATGGTAGTTCTCAATAGGATTGCGAGTGGCTGTGAGCAGGGGAGAGTACAGTAGTGATCCCAGGTGTTCATTTGCATTATCTGCCACTCACAGCAGAAGTGGATGAGCATGGCGGATCAGGAGCCTCTTGGCCTGTCATTCATAGTATGAGGCAATGGTGGGTGGTATAGCCTCGGAGTCTCCTGGTCTGTCAATCAAATGGTGCAAGGTAAGTGGGTAGGTCAGGCCAGGAGTTTGAGACTCCCGGGTCCTCCCACTATAGCCAGCGGTGGCATAAAATCACCACTCATTGTTAAATGGACTACAATGGGGATGGTACAAGACAAGTGGCTGGGGGGATTGCAAACATGGCGGTAATCAGTCTTACTAAATGGAAATTAAGGGGACAGAGCCGCTCTTCTAACTGATTCAAGAGGGGAGTTCTCAGGTGGACACCTGGACTGAACAACACGGAGATATTGCTGAAAGTAAGAAAAACCTTTGAGGTAAAGACAAAACAATTCTGCTTGGTGTTTAGGAAGCCAAACTCTGGCCCCCCAAGCTGTGCTTAAAGGAGAACTATTAGGCGTTACGAGAGGACGCTAGTTTGTGTCCTCCCGTTACCCTTAGGAGAACTATGGGAAAAGGCCCTGACCCCATAGTTCTCCTTTAAAACTACAAACTCTATCGTGCATCTGCCTCTGGGAGTCATGCCTGTGACTGCCATAGTCTTACAATGCCTAATGGGATTTGTAATTGCCCCGCAGCTGGAATGCCGGTGTTTGCCTACCCCTGTATAAGTTTGCCTACCCCTGTATACTGTATAAGTGAACCTCCCCCTGTTTGCGTATCGTACGATATCGTACTAACGAACCTCCCCCTGTTTGCCCATTCATGGGGAGCCTGCCTGGAAAATGGAGAGGTTGGTCTGGATGGGTTTTGCTTGCACTCCCCACTCCCCCCCATAGGCAAAAACATACATTCCCCCATAGAAAATATTCCTAAGCACGGCTCTTCAGCGCCTGGACTGTGGCGTTGCATAGCTGGTCGCCATGTTTGAAGCTTTAGCTTTACAAAGCCGGATTTTCACACGCGATGCAACCCATTCAAGGTTGCTTGGAACAATTGGAGTGCAGCAGAGGATTACATTCTGATGAATATGTCCCGTGTACAGACAAGCTCATTATCACACATGGAGAACTCTTCATGTATGCCCACAAGGGTCGCCACCTTTTCTTCAAGTGAAACCCGAACACTCAAGCGACGTGCAGACATTTTTTGGGGAGAATGAGTGGTGGCTTATTCATAGGTAAATAGTGCTGCCCATTTATATGTTAATATCACAGTTGAGACTATTTTCTTTGGGGGGCCAGTAGCCCCTATCTTAATTTTGGTTGCCCCTGTCTGCCTGACATCATGTGTCCGGGTTTCTGCTGCCTTGAAACCTGGACACAGCATTCAAAACCCAAACTGTACGGGTGAATCCTGGACAGGTGGCAACCCTAATGCCCACCATAATTCATACAGATACTCTAAGCCGGTACTGGGATTCCGATCCTCCAGCCCCGAGCTGAGCGGCATGGTATTATTATGTTAGGTACATCCCAGAGATATCAGGCTAGCTCCCGGCTCCACACAATACGGCCTGCTGACTGCTGATACCAACACATCGGGTTTAGTCATTAGGAAGTGCCCCGGAAGGCTTTAAAGGAGAACTATGGGGTCAGTGTTTTTCCCCATAGTTCTCCTTAGGGTAACGGGAGGACACAAACTAGCGTCCTCCCGTCACCCTATGCTCAGTATATAGGGAGCTACAGCTCGCGGTATACTGAGACGCCGCAGCCGGAGCGGATCCCGACGTAGATGACGGGATCCGCCCAGCTGCGTGAGTGACAGCTGGCTCTGCCTATCTAGAGGCAGAGCCAGCTGTACCCGCCCCCTCCCCCGTCCGTCCTGCCAGTCAGCGCTGGAGGATCGGAGCGGGGAATCCAGCCCCTCCCCTGTCACGGCAGAGAGCCGTGACAGGATCGAGAGGTGAGTGAACGCCGGTATGTGTTCGCTCACCTCCCGATCTACTGAGCCGACCTGTGACAGTCTCATTGTCACAGGTCGGCTAGAACTATGAGGTGAGTGAGAAGCACCCCCCCCCCTCATAGTTCTCCTTTAAGTAAAAAAGCGAGCGAACGCCACGGATCAATAGGAACGAGTATCATTTCATTAAGTACCCAACTTAGTATCAGTATTAATACCACTTAGGAGCTATGGCTTGGTTCAGGGAGGGGGAGGCAATGCTGCAGACTATGTTGTGCTGGCACGGCGAAGTAACAGGATTTTTTTCCACCAATATTCAATACAGCCATCACTTAGAAAGCGGGACGTGGCGGCCCCGGGATCAATGTTTTACCCGCACCCGGGACTGGTGACATTACGGCTCACAATGAATTGTATTACAAGTGGCGATCG